TTTTTTTTTTTTTTTTTTTTTAAGAAATGAAAGCCAAAGGCCTTGTTTCAAAAGTTCTGAAATTGGATAACCTTTGACACTGCCAAAACATTTCCACATTTTCTCTAAAGCTAAATTTTTACTGCATTGACATATATTTACAAACTGTTGAGATTAAAAGTAAACAAACACAAAACAAAAATAAAGCCAAACCAAACAAACAAAAAACTCCACAAACCAGGAACAAACTAAAGGAAAGAAAAAAAAAGAAAATATGTAAACCAGGGTACACTTATTCATCAGAAATTTCCCAGTTACTGTGTCTGGATCTCCATTTTAAGAACTCCCTTCACCCCAGGCTCCTTCAGGTCAGGGTCATGCAGTGATCAATCTAACAGCTGACTTTTTCAGTCCTCTACACGTCCAAGAATGACAGTCACCTTTCATTTTCATTTTAAAGATCCTGCTTCAGCAGGGTTAATGAGAAAGAAAGAAATTAGATAGCAAATTAAGGCTTAATCATTGTACAATTCCCTTAGATAAATGTTAACTGTCCCATCCTCAGTGCTTTGGAGTGTAATTAACTATACCTCTGTACCAAAGGGAGAAACTATAGTGTGCTTCCTTTCAAGGTCAAAAAACCCTGCTGAAAGGGTTTCCTTTTTGCCCCTGGTCTTTCTCCCCCTTACCCAGGAACAGTAAGATCATTCTCAGTTTTGAGCATCTAATGGGTTCATGTGTAGAAGAGGCAGTGATAGACTGTTTAGGTAATGGCCACTCCCCATGTCCCCAAGGACAGGCAGAAGGTCAGAGATGTACAGGAGAAGGGACGTTTGACTGCAAGTCTTCTGTTGGGTCATGGTAATCTAGAGTTGTGGACATTATTTGTGTCCCTTTAAGACATTTTATAAGTGACTAAAAAAGCCCAGATATTAATTCATCAGCATTCTCACAAACAGAAGGCAACAGCTGTACTCAGTGACCTAAGAAATGGCTTTTGGCCTGTCACAGAGAGCTGAATAGAAGAATTTCCCTATCACAGTCATTCCTCATAAAGAGAGCACAGCATATGTAAACACTCAATTGAAGATCAAAGCAAGGGCATCCCTTGCAGCAAGTACTTCAATGCTTTGCATGTCCAACACAGAAGGGCCCCAGCCAGGAAACATCTGTTATTTTCCCAGGGAGACACTTTCCCAACCTGAAACAGCAAACTGTCACAAAATGTTTCATTTCTAGTAACACAGTATTCATTACAAGACACTGACAATTTCTGTGTATCAACCTGCTAGACCTGTGTATTTCACTGCTAAAGCTGTCCCTCATGAACCCCAGACTCTGGAGGTAAGGGGAAAGGTCTGGAGAGAGGAAGACTTGCCCTCAGTAGAGAAGAACCAGGTTAGAGACCACTAGTTTACTATTATCTTATGGCCAGAAGAACAAACATACAACACCCAGTAAACTTTCTGGTGTATTAAGCACAGTATAGATAGAGCAATGAATGGGAAGGGCATGAGAAAGAACTAAGTCAGAGCAGAAGAGCCAGAGACCAGAGTCAAGAGAAAAGGGAATAAAAGGAGGAGAGGGACAAAGACAAGAAGAGACACAGAAAGCAGCAGATTTACTGTCAGGATGAAATGCAGATGTTATGAACTATGAACTTCTCCACACTGAACTTTTCTACCTCCCCTTGCTGTTTATTACATGTGATACTTTCTTTCAGAGACAGTTTTATCATCTATGATGCCATCCTCTGATCTTTCTAGGGAAAGTGACTGACTTTCTCATGGCAGCAAAATGTAACATCTTCAATGATGATATTTGATGATTCACTAATTCAAAAATTCACCTTCAGCCATTTTTTAAAATTATTTTTTATTATTTTTTTTAATTTCACATCATCATTGCCAAAGCACTTCAAGCCACTCAGTAATTTCTCTCGCTAGCTGGGACATGCTCTGAGTGAGTGCCACCCAGCACAGTACCATCATAGTCAGCCTCAGACCACTTTAAGACCTTGATGCAAGTAGACTCCTTTTACGATAGAAGCAGAATTAGCTGGTACTGAACTTAACCAACAGCTTGCAAGAACAGGTTTCCAATAAAATCAGGAAGCATTCCGATGTGCCCTCCTTGATACCTTCCCAAATACTTAAAACAGAAGTGTTTCTACACCCACATTACATTTACAGCTCATTGTGAAATAATTAACAGCATTTACCACTTTATATAGTCAGTTATAAACATTAAGATTTAAGCAATCAATGAATAATGGGATGTTCTTAAAGTCAATGGGATATTTACTAACACTTGAGAAGAGAAAGATGCTTGAGGCAAGCTTATGTCAGCTAACAAACCAGTAATTTAGATGTCAACTGACTATTTAATGTCCTCTTTTTAAATTAATAGCTCATGTCAGTTTCAAATGCCATCTTGGTGTAAGATTGGTAAATTATAATGCCTAAAATTTTCATGCAAGTTTAATGTATTAATAAAAATGTCTGGGTACATTTAATGCTAGCAATATTTTGAGCTAACTACAGTGCACGACAGACAGATTTATTTTGACAGGAGACAAAGGAGACAAGGAGAAAGATAGAACATTTACTAAAAAGAAAAAGATACATATTTTAAACCTACTGCAATAGCAAAAAGGACTCTTTTGCCTCAACATATCCTGGGCAACAGCACACATCAAAACTTCCCATGCTACTCATGGGTTTCTACAGGTCCCCATGTAAATCACTCAGGAGGATATCAAGTTTTAAATGCATTAGACATTCTAATGTTTTATGGAGGACAGGAGAAGCTTGGGAGCTGTGTTGGCCAAATGCCAAGCACATTGGTGAATTTCTTTTGCTACTCAAAGCAGAACCTAGATGTTCTCTTGCACTTTCCCACTGGATTTCTTCTAAGGGACTGACTTCTCTTTGCTTTGCTAGATTATGCTTGGGAAACACAAGGTACTCTTGGAGAATCAGAGGATTCTTTAGGTGAATGGAGGAGGGCTTGGAATGTTATCACATCCTGAAAGCCTCCAGTCTCCACATTAAGAACTGCCATGGATTACATAGGAGGAGAAATAATCTACTTGGAAGATACAAACATCAGGGATGGATGGCACGGCAAAGACTAGGTTTGGGCAATCGTGCAAATTTGAATGTTGTGCTTCAGTTTCCTCCAACTAGCAGAACTGCCTCAGTCTAACAATTTGAGCAAGAACATTTTTCAGTGTTCAGGTCTGTAGCCAGCTGCGCTAACATGCAGAGATATTGAATAGGAGCTGACCTAACTATTTCAGATCCTTCAAACAGGTTTAAAGTCAGATAGACAGAAAAATCTTCTGTTTTGCAGTGGAGATGAGTTCTTTCTACTCTTAAGAATCCAAAATTATCTGTAATTCTGTGAACTGCAGAATGCATCATTTACCAAATGAAGCAAATTGAGTAGGTATGAGTTGTATCACTGATGCTGTCAGCTGCAAATGACAGACACAACCAGTCTCATCACTGGAGTCTGAGCTCAGAAAAACTTAGCTGGAAACATAGTCATGATGCTGGGATGCTTGAGAAAGTCACAGTGGGAGTTCTTCAGAAAATGAGCCCAAAATTTACAAATCAAAATGCATAAGTAAATTAATATTGAAAGAAAAGAGATTTTGGCCTTGTCTGAACTTGTTACTGGAAGAGTGGTGCATGAGGAAGAAAGATCAAGATCTAGAGCACAGCTCGCACAGGACGAGGTGTATTGAAATTCATTGCAGGGACTCAGATCCTGCATCAGCTATTCACAAGTAATACTATACATTGCATCTGCAGCCAGGGGCAATCCTGCCTCAGCCATTTAACTATCCACTGAAATAATATCTGCTTAAGATGCAAGCACATACTGCTGGTGTACTATAGGCAAGTTGAATGGTAAAAGTGCTGGAAATACTATGATGCCAAAAATAAACCTGCAAAGGAATTATCTCAAGCCAGTTCCTAATCAGAATAACAAAGATGTCTTTTCCACAGAAGATTTTTACACAAACAGCAGGAAACAGGGACTGGTAGTGGTTGTTTTAAACCATGCCACAGCAACTTGTGTGAACTTTAATTACTTTTCAGTGAAGTAATTCTCTCCTGCAGAAATATGTCAGACTTGGAGACAGATGTTTTCTTGGCACTGATCTGACTTTAAGAGGACTTTTTTTTTTCCCCCAGCAGTGATGTATCTCACTTTTCAGCCTGGAGATACCTGGAATGAGGCTAGTTCATTCTTTTAATTTCATTCAAGCTGTAGCCTTCCTGCTAAGACCACTACTTAAAAAATAATAACAAAAATTACAGGATTTGTTTGGACACTTTTGTAGAAAAAATGAAAAGAATGACTCATTACACAAAACCTGTTACTACTGAATTGTCAGTCACTACAAAGCACTAACAAACATTGACAACTGCAGATGGATACGAAGGAGTACACATTTTCCTAGGCATAAATCTGTGTCCATCAATGTCCCCAGGAGATGGGCACTATAGCATCCCACCTTTACCTGCAAGTTTACAGTCTCCATCTTCCACATTCCTATTCCTTAAACATGCTCCCAGCTGTCTCTTTCTGATTCACCTCTTCCAACACATGGGATGAAAGTAAGAAATACAGAGATAGAAAAGGAATTTGTTAAGCACAGTCACTATTATTCTGAGGAAAGCACTGAAGTGTTACCAATCTTATCAGAAGAACAAGTATTGGCATGGAATGGTTTGAATAGGTGAGTTGGCTTGGCCTTTCACGCAGATTCCCAGCTGCTCAGTCTCTTCCCAGCCTGGCATTCAGATCTGTAACAACGAAGTCTCCTAAATTTCAAAAAGTACTTCCTTCTTTAAATGTAACATATGACTCTGTCTACCATTCACTTCAACTGTGACTGACTCAAATTGCAAACTGAACTCACTAGCCTTGGGAAAAAACAACAACAACCAACCAACAAACAAACAGCTTCAGCTGTCAGAAACTAGAGCTGCCAGAAAGACACCTGACAGAAGGCAGCTCACACTGCAGCACAGATGGGCCTCCCTGGCACAACAATCACATCATAGAGTCCCACAAAAACACTTCCCAGTGGATCTGCCCCAACCCCTCAGTTACCTCCTTTTCACCTCTCAGTTTGGTTTTGCTCATTTTGCATGCAGCCATGGCATTCCTGCCACAGTGAGAAAATATTATCTGGTCTGGAAAGAACAGGGCCTGGCAGAGGGATAAGGAAAATCAGAGAAGAAAAAGCACTGCAGAAGATATCAAAAAGCTTCAAACTCCATCCAGCTTTCACCTGCCTATGAACATCACTGTAGCTGATGGAAATAGCAGAGATCTGTTGCCTCCTAGTCTGTCCTCCCATCTCCACTCCAGTTATCTTTCCTAGTGCCCACTGGGCTTTTTTCACCCCTCATCTGTAGCCTGCAGATGTCTGTTGCTTCCCATGTGGAGAAGTAGAAATGGTGGTTCTTCTACAATACAAAGAATGCCACAGATCACCCCATACTTCTCAGATCACTGCTCTTGGACAGACTGACTTACATCCCTGTCCTTGTTTTGGGCTAGTGTACCCTTTGGCACTTTATCCTCCACAGTTCCATTCCTGTGTGCCCCAAGTATCTTCTGGACTTGTGCAGGAGACAAAAGTCAGTGCTACAGTTCCTCTTTACAGGAGCTGTGGCCAGTTCAAAGTACTCTCCTCATGCATGATCATAATGTCTCTTGCAACAACAGAAGTGAAGCGCCAACGGGAAAAATCTAGTCATACCCTATATGCACCCTGGTTCTCTCTAAATCCCTATTAATCCAGACAGCTTCCTGGATTTCTTCAGTAATCTTCAATTGCCTTAGAACCACTGCATTACCTCCATCTGTCTTTGTTCTCCTAAACCAAGCCTTTTTTTTTTTTTTTTTTTTCTCCTGTTCCTCCCTCACCCAGGAATATTCCTTTTAAACTATGAGTGTCAGTATTATCTTTCTGGATATGATGAAAATCAGTCCTGTAGACTCAGCAGAATCTTTGACACCTCTGGGGTCAAAGACTTGAGTGTTTTCTCTTTACATACCTCAGCTATGTCCTAAGCTGTTCTTTCACTTGCAACTTTTCCAGCCCCAGCCCACCCCCCTCAGCAAAAGCAACCCTTCCCAAAGTCTTCCATTCTGCCAACTAGTATATTCTATAAACAACCCAGTTATCAGGTCAACATAAAGTTTTCTTAAGTTGTCAGAAGTTTACAAATAAGGAAAATGAGAGCCAGCAAAGACAGAGCTGCCTCAGTGATCAAAATAAGCCTTGAAAAATAATTGGAAAATTATTCCTCTGTGGTCTACTTTGGCTGCAGAACCTCCCTTCACAGCTGCCACCATAGCCAAATATCAGTAGCGAATAACTACCAGGAGAATGGGAGTGGAACAATACTTGAAGGGCTACAGTAGTCTTAGGCCAAAGTGCATTTGCGCTACACTAAGGAATAGATGCCATCTGCACAAGAGATGTCAGGCCCTGCTGATACACCCAAACAGGCCCAATTCCTTGCTCAACATGGCAGGGATTAGTGGGTGGCGGATAGACTGAAGAATGTATTCACCACTTTAGGTTTTCTCAGTATGCATCTTGGGAATTACATTTAATGAAAAATATTTAAAAGCTGCACAAATGCCATCCTAGAGCATGCTATTGAAAGTTAACATAACAATGAACAGAGGTGTCATAAATAACTCCATGTGTGTTTGTGTAAATGTTAAAAAATGAGCAAATAATCTTAGCAGAAACAGCTGTCTCAACTTCTTGCACATACACATTTGCAGAAACAGAATATAAATACTCTTTCTGTGTTAAGACAATGGTCACTAGTGACAACAACAATAAACTAGCTTTTCTACCTTGTTCTCTCACTGTCCTTTCTAGTTGAACTTGTTCTTCTGAACAACCTTAGGCAAGTTACTTTGACTCAGGTTACCCTATCCATAAAATGAAATTTATCTTTACATCACACACTTCAAAACCAACTATTGCAGGCACTTTCAGGCTCTTAGTTCCTTTTAGTATTTCTGAATGGGACAAATACTTAATATTTAGACACATGCACACAGAAACACATATATTTGCACACACACATATACCTCACACTGCTAGGGTGAGAGGAATTTGTTAAACCCCTTTCCAGGATACAGCATACTTCACTGATGCCAGCTACCAGTCTGACAAGCAGAGCCACACTTCTGGCTATTTTTTGCTCTTCTCTGGCCACTTTCCACATTCCCTGAGAGAGCATCTGGCCTGGGATTCCTGTTCTCCCTTCATATTTGGGGCTGGATTTGTGGTTGACCTTTTCACAGCTGCCAAACAGGGAGGAATCCTTACTCTTTCTTACCCCTCCGCACAACTGTTTGAAGCTAGTCTTGAATAGCTCTAAATCATTTGATTGTAAGAGTTGCTCCCAAATCTGCTGAGTCAGGAGAATGCTTTCCTGGTAATATTCAGACACCTGTCAGAGGCAATTCCTTCCACAGCCATCATGGTCTCTGCTGGCAAATTTCCTGGTGCCACTGATTCCAGCAATAAATTGGTAATTCTACCTTTCCCTAGAGCTGCTGCGAGTATGGATAAAAAAAATCAGGAATGTTTGTGGAAGAGTATCCTCTTCAGTCCTGTCAACAGAAACCCAGGGTAACTCAAATATTAGATACCACCAAGCAGAGAGCCTCCTGCTCCCAGTCAGCACCCATCTTCCATCTAGTCCAGGGCAGCTTTATGTTGACTAGAGCTTGTCAGAGAGGTGACAACATGGGATTAGCTTGGAATGAAAGACTGCTATCATAGCTAAAGGACAGCTTGAAAACAAACCAAAACAAAACAAGGCCTCTTGATGCAAGGGACTAGGAGTGCCACAGGTCTTAGCCAGAAAAGAACAGCATCGGAGCTCCTGCATATTCCAACTCATAGAATTTCCTGTATCCCTGTTGAATTTCTGGACAAGTTCATGAAAAAGGTATCACAAATATCAAACAGACTCCTAGGAGCCTTCTTAGAAAACAAGATTAATTATAGATCTTTTTATAAGATAATTTATATTGTCCATGAGATCCTTTTTTTTCATTTCTCTGATCTCCTACCAAGAGATCTTCTTGGAAGGATCTGTACTAGGTATTAGCAAAGCTAAGTTTGTTTTTCTTTTGTTTGTTGCTTATAACCAACGACTTCCATATTCCATGTGGACTTTACAGCCTGGTATCAGAGCGCAAATAACAAGCTGCAAGAAATGAGCAAGTATCACACAGTGATGCTGACTCTAGCTTGTAGGCTGCAAATGCTTGGGGAGCCATAGGGTGTTTGTCATGGGTTCACAGTGGTTTATGGGCTTAAAGGCTTCCCATATGTGTTTAAATTGGGCTTAGACTCACTTCACAGAGGCCCACAGCTTCAATGGAAAATTTCTACAGACTTGTAAATGGAAAAAGACAGAAAACACTAGCTGAAAAAGTAACTAGGGTACTTTTTGTGCATTAAAAACAACACCTGGTCCACTCTCCAAATCTGATTTACTATGTAGACACCAAAATGCAAGTGCTAAAGAATAATAACTACCCCTTTAGGTGGAAATCTGTATTTAGTGTCTTTGTGAACTGGTTCCTTTGAGTGAGTTTCCAATTCTGGAGGAGAGTGAAGCACAGGACCCAAGCGCTGGACAAAGCAGGTTATGAAATTGAGCTATGAAAGCATGGCAGGACAGTACAGGCACTGCAATTTTATAGAGCTATGCTCACTCACCCCAGCCTTGAAGTGGAGAAAGAGATAAAGGAGGAAACAGGAGGAAAAAAAAACCCAAACCAAACAAAACCAAAACCAAGTATTTCTCTCTGATTGGAGCCTATATCTGCCTCACTGTACAGTCTCCCATGGACTGTACACCCAGTTTAGACTAGAAAGATGAGAATCAGGTCTTAACTCTTTATTGCAGACTCTAACGGTTAGCACTGTAAATATCATGTCAACAGACAAATTAACCACAGCTTTCACAAAGATGGGTGTGACAAAGTTTCTCTCAGATGGAAAAAAGATCGAGAAAAATTACAAAGAAGCAAGTCCCCGCCTGCCAAATCTCCTGCGAGTTCTTTCTTTAGCAAAGACACCAGAAAATGCTTGAGCAGTATGAAAGGGACTATGATGGATGCCACTGCCCAGTGGAGTCATGAGATCTAATAATATAAACAAGGCGAGTGCTTCAAGAGAAGATCTTATTTCCAAGCACTGACGCTAGATGGAGTAAAACTGAATAAAAGATTAAGAGCAGTGAAAGAAAGAGAAAGGATGAAAGATCCTGCATTTTCCCAGCTGCTTCTTGAAATCTCAGCTTACTGCTCTGAAAGTCACGATTAATATCTTGCTCTCTATATTTTGCAGGTCAAACATGGGATCAAGCCAAAACAGGTATGTTCCAGAGGAGTCTGGTGGAGCAGGGCATGACACATAGAGGCTATAAAGGCACATCCATCTAGATAAAGGGAAAGGTCACAGCAATAAAAGCTGTGGGGTTATTCTGAGTTCCTCTTGAGAGTCCAGAGCTGCCTGCAGGTCTGCCAAACACTCTGCATGGCCTAAGGCAAGTAATTCAACTGCCCTGTCCTCCAATTTCCTAGTTGAATGCTTGGAATACCCCAACATAAGGCCCAGGCATACTGTCTGCATTATGACACAATCATGCTGTGATGCTGCTGCCTCTCCATTAGCAGGTACTTCCCATAGTAAGTTCACAGAAAGATGCAGCTTCAAGATAGATCCAGGAACTGCTCGGTTGCTCCCCACTCATGTAGAGACAACATGGGGAAGCACCCCAAATGATAATCATCCAAAGTCTATAACACTGTAAGCAGTTCTCATAGCAGGATGCTGCCCTAAAATGCCTTGCTTGCTGCTAGGGATAAGTGAAGAGGGCAGTGAAGAGGGCAGCAGGGAGTCACAGCAACATCCAGAGTCATATACTTGTGTTAATTCACTTAATAAAAACAGTTACCTCCAAAGATACAAACAAACACCTAGGAAAATAAAAGTTAAGTGGGAGGAACTTAACGAATATAATTCCAGAAGCTCCATTGTTAAATTTCTAGAATTCTTGTTTTTTTTCCTGTGGGAATCTCCCAGTTCAGCTTTTACAATAATACTATGCATCACCCCAGGTAAAACCAAAGCCAGAAAGTGACTGTTAACCTGCAATGTTTCTTTCTTTTCAGAGATGATGCCAACATACTACAAAAACAAAGTACAGGTGATCAATAATCCTTTTGAAATCGACACTTACCTGGTCTGAGGATCAACAGAAGTCTCTTGTGCACAGCCAGAAATCTCACCGATACTGATTCCTTTCTTTGTGCTTTAATTGAAAGACTGATTGATTACAGGTAGAGCTTGTAGTGCATGCTACCTTCAATCACCTGTAGACAAAGAGCCTGCAATCAACAACAGCAAGGATAGGAAAGGAATGAGAAAGACAAGAGATGAGCTCCGCTCATTATTAAATTCTGTTTAGTCTGCAATAAATATATGATTGATTTATAAAATCGATTAAATACAGGGTAATCAAAAAAGTAGCAATACATTTCAGCAGCATAATTCATAGTCACTCCCATATTTCAAGACAGGTCAATAATGAATGAAGTAACTAAAACCATTCATTTGAGGTTGAAGCAAAACAAGGCTCCTCAAAATTTTCAGGAAATAGATATTTTGTGTTAATAGGAAAACATGTCACACTAAAGTTAAATGTTTTTTTCACTTAAAGACTGATCTCTTGTTGAACTGTAGGTGGTAGTGCTCATTTCATCCAATTAAATGAATTCTGGTAATTTAAAATGAAAAAAATTAATTTTGAAATAATGTGGGGGGTTGGTTTGTTTTTGTTTGATTGTTTGTTTGTTGTTTGGCTTTTTTGCATATATCAACCTGTTTGAAAACAGGTTGATATACTAAAAAAGTTTCTGGACATCTGAAACAAAACAAGCTAATCTGGAATTTCCAAAATTCACACATCCTCAGTTTCTTAGTATAAAACAATGCATTAAGATAAATCAGAAATTGTGAATAATTTCAGTCTTCCACCCCTTTGTTCTTGTTATTGCCTCTTATATTCTGTTGAATTTGACTTCTTCAAATTTGCTTTGCCTGGCTCCAATTACAAGATTTTTACAGTGGGAGTGACAAGAAGAAAAAATAGAGCTTTGTCTGAAAATGTTTAGAATAGTTTAAGTAATTTTAAATTGTTTAAACCCAAGTTACTTTGTAACATTCCAGCTTTATCAAATTTGGGAGCCTGTGACTTCGGCATCAGTTCAGAAAATAATGTTCTATTCTGTTTAATCCAGTTCTTTCAAGAATGCTGTATTATAACAGATATTGGCATCACATTGTGCAAGAAAAGCAGCAAGTTGTTTTTTGTTGGTTTTTTTTGTTTAATTTCAAGCCAGGCTTTGCTTTCAGCTTGTGAAGACAGGGTAGCAAATGTCACCAACGGGAGCTCTGGGAGCAGCAAAGCCATGCTGGGCATCCTCTGTTATTCCAACAGCTCCTCTCAGGAAACCCAGAAAGACTCAGAGGCTTGAGAGCCTCAGGTAGAGAGCACACACAACATTAAGTAACATCACTGGTATTTCACAGGTATAGCTGTTACGCTGTAGCAGTACAGGAAGACTCGGCTGTCTGACGGCAACTTACTATCCAGATTCAAAGACCACAAACTGTAAATAGACTAGGTCTTCCTAAACTTTCAGCTGAGGCCAATGTCTATAGAGTTATGGATTTTTTAAATCTCTCATCTAACATACATTCCTGAAGTTAACATTTAAACCAGTGTCTGCTGTCAGTTATAACATATGGCAGATCATAACAAATAAAGTTCTTTCGAGTTCTTCATTACTGTAATATAAAATAATTTTTCTGATTTGGGGGGCAAGCAAACATTAGACTGCAGTCCAACCTAGAAATTCTGTGTATTACTAAGAAATAACACTCAACAAAATCATGGAAACTAGGGCTTCCCATCCAATTACCAACTTTCAGGTCATGAGTAGCTGCAACTAACCCCACACATTAAAGTCAGAGCTGATGTGTTGAATCAGGGACTTAGAATCAACACATTGTCACAGCATAGGAGCAGATATATCAAAATTTTATTTCTATGAAGATTACTATACTACTTGTAACTGTAACTGGAAGGATTTTAATGTTTCTGTTTCAACATTAGCAAAGCAGGTATTTTTCCAAATGTCTACAGGAAACCAGATGGTAATTTTCCTCCACATTTTGAAAAACAAAAAGTAAGATTCAATTTCAGAGAAAACAGGTATATTGGAATAAGTTCCCTGGATTCCTAGGTATCTGTATCTGTACCAGTTCAGTACTGTAGTTCATTAGCAGCTTTTGCTAACAGGTAAACGAAAAAAAGTAATGTGATACTTGTAAGTAATTGCATGTGTACATGTGTAAGTAAATAAAGACATCTTGTAAAGTATCTGTTAATTGATTTGCTTCCTTTGGTACTATTTTAATTAAGTCTTGGAACAGAAAAGAGCATGTGGTCAGAGAGGGAAGCTGTTACCTTCCCTTATTTGTGTAAACAAATGTTTATTTTGCATCATTGCAGTACAATGTGGGAAATAAAGATGAAAATAAATAAAGAGTGTTAAGCTACAAGCAGCAGAGGTGAAAGACCTGGAGAATTAAAGTTAGTGATATTGATCAGGCAAATGTGTTGGGATGGTGGATAGATTACAAGTTCCCAAAACCTTTTGGGGTGTGCCTTGGCAATCCTTGGTGTGGGAAAAGGATGGGCAGTGCTGAGACAGGGAGCTGGGGATGGGGCCCCCAGAGCTGCTGCTTGGGCACACTGGTAACTGCCACTACTGCATGAGGCTGCCATGGAGGCAGCAACCAGGGCCCCATAAAGCCTAGCTCCCCCACCCCACAACAATAGCAGCCAGCCTGGCTCTCTACAGAGAAATGAGGCTGCTGCAACCATTTTGCCATCCCAAGGAGTTGCTGATTTTAGCCATTCCTACAACCAGCTTTACCAGCCACACTTGCAGCATTAGAAGCTCATGATTTTGAGCCAAGCTGCACAGCACTGCTTGAAAATAATCAGAACAGGAAAGCTAGCTGAAAGGGAAGCTACTTTGGATGTATTCAGTCAAAGGAAAAAAGACACTGTTAGCTCCACTAATTCTTAATTAAGGATGCAACCCAGGCAGCACATAACCAGCACAACAGGCATCTGTGCTTGCCTATTTGCCTGTTCAGCACAGGTTATACCTGTCTGTGCTGAGCATCTCAAGCTCTCCATGAGCTCTCTGGCATTTCCCTGAATAGATAATAGTGTGAAGAACTTCAGAGTCGGGGTTTGGACACATGCCCTGGTTATGTCATGTTAGACCTGCAGTTTCCTCATGACAGATGCACAGCAACATAATGATGCTTGTGAATAGAGTTATTCAGAAGAGGAGACAGTTGGAAACACAAGAAGTGAGCTAAGAGTTGCATACACAGCATGAACTTCTAAAGAGATAATGATGCAACATTGACTTTAGTTATAATGCAAGTGCCACAGCAACAGTGGGATCATTCAGGTCAAATCCTGCTAACAGCTGCATCAGTGCAAATCGAGACTAATTGCTGAAGTCACACATCTCAGTACAGCACTCACTCACATAGTAATAAATCAGGTAAAAATCCACTAGGTCAGAAAAATTGCAAGGGTAAAAAAGAAGTGCCTGTGGGAGGAGTTCTGTAAATCAGACTTCACTGGCATAAATCTGCTCTGACCAGCATGAGGAAGATCTGATTCAGCTCCTCCCAAAAAGAAAGGATAGCAAATGTCATAATACTCAAAACAGTATAACCTGAATCCTTCTGGGCCTCTCTCATGCCCATAAGTGAAAAATCAGATAATTTTAGTCAAGTATTTTTTCTGTTTCTTATAACTGCACTTAATCAAATACAAAAGACTAAGAAATAAAAATGCTTTGACTCACCAACCAAATATGGGAAACTACAAGCAGAGGAAATAACCTGCCTTGCAAATCTGGTAGAGATAAGATGTTTATACTACACAAATAGGACCTAGGCTTCAGAGTTCTGAAAATCACATTCACTACACACAGGGAACGCTAGAATTGCCAGCCTAGGTCTGACTGAAGTCCATGTTCATCAACAGTCTCTTTGCCACAGGGGCTAATAGAAAACATCTCATCTAGATGCAGTCCAAGAGCATTGCAAGCATGGGCCAATGCTCTCTTAGAAGACCCGAACCCCCACCCCACAGCAAATTTCTGCTCAACATAACTTAGCCAAAAGTGGTCCTGTTGAATTTAGTATGTTATGATGTACTTTCCTTCCACAGTCAGAAGTGGTTGATTCCATACATGTCATATATTTATACATTTAAAATATCACAAAGATCATTATCCTCTCTATCACTGCATCAGTGAATTTGAATGGTCACTACTAACATATCATGAAAGCAACTCTCACACTCCTAAGAAGACACACCCACAGAGAGGGAAAATGAGACATGGAGCAGCCCAAGTGCTGCATCAAAGGGCAATGCAAGATCAGCAAGGGAGACAATACAGACAATGTTTTCTAGATCCAATGGGAGTGACCTAATTATAAGACTACCATTCTTTACTGCTGCCTTCAACAAAAATGCTGATTTTGGAATGGTTATGTGTTAAGTATTTCACCTTTATTGAATATACAGGGTTATGATTCTTGTATTTCAGGCTTTAAGTCCTAGAAGAACCCTATGCTTTCATTCACAAATGCATCAAACAGGAGCAAAATCAGTGGCACTACACTGGGGCTGAACACAGTGTGGACTAATAAAAAAAACTAAATGCTTCACAACCAAACTGGCACAGTGCACACATTCAATCTTCTGCATTCAGTTAGAAAATGTGTTGCCTGCTCTGTAATCCATGCAGGAGGCTAACAGTGTTTCAATCACATCCCTCACACCACTGCTAATGGCCATCAATCCTCGTGCAGACAATCCATGAGGCCTTTCCTTTACAAATCAGATTCTATTTGGCACTATCAGAAATCTTTCTGAGTCAATGGGCAATTAAAATAATTACCTTTAATCATATTCTTCAATTACTCCACAGTACTGAGGGAAGACTCACAGGGCTGGGACCAGATGCAAACATACTCTGTTGTGATTAAAACTGACTGAAATGCTTCAGTGAATATAAAACACTGAGTATTCATCCCTTTTGGGAAAAATGCTGGTATGTTTTAAGCTGCTTGATATTTAAATAC